AATACTTACTTGTATTCATAAATAATTGTTTTACAAATCAAATGATTATTGTTATGGCATAAAATACATCATGTGTCATTTAGGTATGCAATGTTTTAAACTTTCAACTGATTTAGGAATCATTATTCTAAAATCTCTAATTTGCAGGGACTTGACTCTTCCTTATTTTGATAATTCTATTTGTAAATTTTTGTTTCCTTTTTAAGTTGTAGGTTTTTGTATTAATTTTTCTAAATTTATTTTTATTCACTCAACTATTGTAAAATATGACTGGGCCAGGTGCAGTGGCTTATGCCTGTAATCTCAGCACTTTGGGAGACTGAGGCAGGTGGATCACCTGAAGTCAGGAGTTTGAGACCAGCCTGGCCAACATGGTAAAACCCCATCTCTACTAAAAATACAAAAACTAGCTGGGCATGGTGGTGTGTGCCTGTAATCCCAGCTGCTTGGGAGGCTGAGGCTGGAGAATCACTTGAACCCAGGAGGCAGAGGTTGCAGTGAGCTGAGATCGTGCCATTGCACTCCAGCCTGGGCAACAAAAGCAAAATACTGTCTCAAAAAATGTGTATATATATATTTTATATATATATATATTACACTAGTTGATTAGTATTTGCAAATACAACTGTAATTCTTTGCTTATAAAATTTTGAACAGCTATGCTTTGGTGAGACACATGTTTAATACCAAATAGAGCAAAAGAACTACTAAATAAGATATATCTTTGTGAATGTTTTAATGAGTTATATAGTAACAATTTCTATTCCCTATAATCATCTACTCAAAATTGCTTATAGTTAAGTACGGTAATTAAGTACGGTACTATGATTGTGACTTTTTTTTTTTTTTTTGAGGACCGGCCTTGCTCTGTCACTCAAGCTGCAGTGCAATGTTGCAATCTCAGATCACTCGCAACCTCCGCCTTTCAGGTTCATGTGATTCTCATGTCTCAGCCTCCAGAGTAGCTGGGAATACAGGCGAACGCCATCACCCCTGATAATTTTTGTATTTTTAGTAGAGACAGGGTTCTACCCATGTTGTCAGGCTGGTCTTTGTTGGTCAGGCTGGTCTTGAACTCCTGACCTCAAGTGATCTTCCCACCTCGGCCTCCCAAAACACTGGGATTACAGGGTGGAGCTACTGCACCTGGCCTGATAGTGACTTTAAAACTTTTATTTTGAAAAAGAAAAGTTATCTTAACAAGGTCTTTTTTTTCCTCTATTTTCATTTTTTTTCAACCACATAACTTCTTATGAGCTTGCTAAATACTGTCCTAATATAATACATATATAAATATGTATTTAAACTAGACATGCAGTTTCTGGCTCTTGGATAATAAATGCAGGAGAGGCAACAGGTTTCAAGCCTGTATTAGTCTCCAAGTCTGCCCCTTATTCCCTGATTTTTGAGGCTAAGGTGGCCTTGCTGCTGCAGTGGCTGCTGACTGCCTCTGCTGTAACTGAGTGGTGGTGGGTGCACAGAGAAAAGAAATCAAAGACACCCAGAGCAGCAACTTCAATTCACCTCAAATATTAAGAAGGCGTTTTTTAATGCCATCATCACTCGCCATCCAAGAAAATGCAAATCAAAACCACAAACCGAGATGCCATCTCACACCAGTTAGAATGGCATCCATTAAAAAGTCAGGAAGCAACCAGGTGCTGGAGAGAAATGTGGAGAAATAGGAATGCCTTTTACACTATTGGTGGGATGTAAACTAGTTCAACCATTGTGGAAAACAGTGTGGCGATTCCTCAAGGATCTAGAACTAGAAATACCATTTGACCTAGCCATTCCATTACTGGTAATATACCCCAAAGGATTTATAATCATGCTGCTATAAAGACACATGCACACGTATGTTTACTGTGGCACTATTTTCACAATATCACAAAGACTTGGGAACCAACCCAAATGTCCATCAATGATAGACTGGATTAAGAAAAATGTGGCACATACACACCATGGAATACATGCAGCCATAAAAAAGGATGAGTTCTCATGTCCTTTGTAGGGACAATGGATAAGCCTGGAACCATCACCTGGAGCAAACTATCACAAAGACAGAAATCTAAACACTGCCATGTTCTCACTATATAGTGGGAATTGAACAATGAGAACACTTGGACACCTGGCTGGGGAACATCACACACGTGGGCCTGTTGTGGGGTGGGGGCGAGTGGGAGGGATAGCATTATCGAGATATACCTAAGTAAACTGACGAGTTAACGGTGCCAGCACACCAACATGGCACACGTATACATATAGTAAAAACCTGCATGTTGTGCACATGTACCCTAGAACTTAAAGTATAATTTAAAAAAAAAAAGAAAAAGAAGGTCTTTTTTGAGACACAAAATGAAACATAATTGCTTCTCACACTTAATTTTTGTCATTAACATTTTCCTCTGTCCAATAACATCTATTTTAAAATGTAAATATTTGGAAAGTGAGAAGAATTCGAAAGAATACAAAAAAGATATTGTGCTCCCAAGCAATTCAAGGGAGGAATGTACTAAATCAGACTATAGGGGCAGGAAATTGCACTAAGGAGGTACCTGCGAACTGAGAAGCTATGAGTGGTCAATTTTCTGTCAACTTGACTGGGCCATGGATGCCCAGACATTTGATCAAACATTATTCTTGGAGAGTCAGTCAAGGTTATCCTGGATGAGATTAACATTAGAATTGGTAGACTGAGTATAGGAATTGCCCTCCCTATGTGAACGTGCCTCATCCAATCAAGTGAAGAAGTGAATAAACAAAAGGCTAAGTATGAGGGCACTCCCTCTGCCTGACTGGGTGAGCGAAACATCAGTCTTCTCTCTTTAAACTCAGACTGAATAACTGCCTCTTCTTGGGTCTCAAGCCTACCACTTCTCAGATTGGAACTAGTACTGTTGGCTCTCCTAGTTTTCATACCTTTGGACTCAACCTGAACCTAGACCAGTTGGCTCTCCTTGGCCTCCAGTTTGCCTGCTGCAGATCTTCTAACTTTCCTACACTAGATGGAGTCTCGCTCTGTTGCCCAGGCTGGAGTGTAGTGGGTGATCTCGGCTCACTGCAACTCCATCTCCTGGGTTCAAGCAATTCTCCTGCCTCAGTATCCCGAGTAGCTGGGACTACAGGCACCCACCACATGCCCTGGCTAAATTTTGGTATATTTAGTAGAGATGGGGTTTCACCCACTTGGCCAGGCTGGTCTGGAACTCCTGACCTCAGATGATCCACCTCCTTTGGCCTCCCAAAGTGCTGAGATTACAGACATGAACCATTGCACCCAGCTGCCAATTTCTTATAATAAGTATTTTTACATTACTATCGAAATACAAGATAGATGTGTGATCTATATCTATATATTTAATATCTAATATGTACATTTTCTATAAGAAGCAGCAAAACAGAATTATAATTCATTTCCCCTCCCTTATTTTTGTGTTCTCATTTATATGTGGTATGCTGATCAAAACTACTGCTTCAAGTTTATTTACAGTGAAAACATAACAATTTGATAAACATACAATCTGTTTTTAAAAATTGTGAATGATCATTTAAAAAAGGCAGATTTCATTTTTCTTATGTACTACTTAAAATGCAAGGAATTAATTTCACCAACAGAGCCTATAAAGGTATTAATTGATTTGTAGGACTGGTTAAGTGCAGGAGAGAGGCACTTTCTTGGGTAGATGCTTATGAATTCTTTTTGTATAACATGTTTTATAAGAAAAAGTATCTCGAAGGTACTGAGGATGTCATATTTGATACACATTCAATAAAATATATGCAGAGTAAGAATCTGATATAATGGGTTCACTTTATATTTTTATCGGAATTTATTTATTGAATAAATATTTATTAAACATCAACTACATACCAGCTCTGTTCTTTATAAAAAAGAACAACACAGACAATGTTCCTGCCTTCAAGAAGGGGGTATTCTACTACAGGGATAGATAATCAACAAATAAACAATGCAAACAAATTAGTATATTATATAAATAATATAAATATATAAAATAATCATTTTATGTATATGTATATAATGATTATGATTAGTGTCCACAATGCAACAAGTAGAGTGCTGCTGTGATAGAGCATAATAGAAGAAACATGACTAGAAAGGGCCTATCTGAGGAAGCAATGTTTATAATCATGATGATCTTTCCTAATAGCACAATGTCTACAGTTTTCATCTTTTTCCTCCCATTGATATTACTGATCTGGAGAATGATTTATTTTAATATTCCAAGGACTTTTTGTTTGGATTCAGGGGGACAGATGCAGGGCTCTTATATGGGTATACTGTGTGATGCTAAGGTTTGGGTTACAGATGGTTTAGAGAATGATCTAATAGTTCTTTTCATATGGATTCTATTTCAATATATGTTTCTCAATTTGTTAACTTTAAGTCACAAATATATTTCATAATCCAAGCCCTTTTAGTTCAGACTTTCATATTATAGAACTTTTACAACTTAATTTATTGGTGAAGCCAATATTTACTCTGTATGTCTTAATGTGATTAATTTTAATTTGTATCAATTATTGGCATAAATTTGTGATTTGCTTTGTTTCCCCTGCTAGATTGTTGGCTCTGTGAGGCAGGAAACAGATCTAGCTCCAGTGTCCAGAATAGGGGTTTATAGATAAAAAGGAGTTAAATATTTTTTGAAAGAATTGCCTAAAAGAAATTTCTGTGATGAATATTAACAGAATGATCTAATCACACTTATTCTTTTTTTTTCCAAATAGGGCCTGGCTTTGCAGATGTTAAATTCTTTCTACTCTTGACTTACAGTCTTAACTCCCTCTTTATAAATGTGAAGGCTGGGAACGTTAGGGAAAAAATCAGCAACAAGAAAAATTCCTCTGATCTTTCCCATGCCAAAGAGTTGGTAATGAAGAAAAGCTATTTCTGAGGATTAAGGAGTATGCATAATCTGTGCTTGGCTTTCTCTGCTCCCTTTAATATTCTATTGAAAGTCCCTCTTTGATTAAACAGGAGAGAAGATTCAAGGAGGAACTGAAATAGAGAGAGGGTCCTTTGCAAACCAGTATCAAACAGATCCCAGTCACTTGTAACGTCTGCCCTGCCGTTGGAATAACTTAATGAGACTCCTGGGCAACCCAGAGAGAAGTGTAAATAACAGCAGTTACTAATAAGAACACCGTTGAATTTTGAAACACTTTTGCATGCTTTAATTTCTCCACATTTTAAGTAATTATACTAATTATGAGAGTGCTGTGTGTAAACCCTATTAGTTGTTTGGTCACAAATAAGAACAAAAGTCATTTCAAATATATATCTGACTTTACTGCTTTCTGATAGAGAATTGCTTTCTACAGTGAATTTATTTTCATGTTAAGAAAAAGTAACAAAAATTCATGTTCTTGGGGATGAGTTGATGACATAGGCCCTCGCATACATCACTAGTGGAAGTGTAAATTTATTAATTTATTCAACAAACATGATGTGCTAGGCATAGTTCTGGGCGTTGGGGATATGGAGGTAAGCCAAACAAAATCTCTGCAGTCATGGAGCCTACACTTTAACTGGGTAGATGAAAGTGAATACTCAGGAAGTCAGATGGTATTTTATGCTATGGAGAGAAATGAGGCAGGTAAAGGGAGAAGGAGTTTGGGGAGCAAGTTTTCTTATTTTAGTGTGCTAGGGAAAACTTGGCATTTGAGCAGAGGTGTGAAGAAATCAGAGGAACTAACCATGCAGATATCTGTAGAAGGATCACTCAAGATAGAAGGAGTAGGCCTGCAGTACACAGAGGATGCTATCGCTAAGTAGAGGGAGGGAAGGAGAGAAAGAGATCAGAGTTGATGCCAGGGTCTAGGTCTGAGTGAGATGAGAACTCCATGCTTTCTGTTTTAAAGGAGTTTTTAAGTAAGAATGATATAACTTGTTTTAAAAGACTCCTGACTTCTCTATGCTATTTTGGGGCAAAAGTGATAGAAGAGAGATGTACTAGGAAGCCATTACAGTTCATCAGGCAAGAGACAGTGGTGGGTGGGACTAGTCCCCACTACTAGCAATGGAGGTGAGGAAGTGGTCAAATACCTAGATGCATTCAGAAGTACAATTTTGGCATGTAAAAGAAAGGTTTGGCGAAGGAAGATTCTAACATTTTTAGCTTAAACAACTAGATGAGTGGAGTTGCCATTTTATCAGATATTGCTGAAGAGAGTTTAAAAGAAGAAACCAGGAATTTGGTTTTATATATGATCAAGTTGAGATATCTATTAGAAATCCAACTGGAATTGTCAATACAGAAGTCTGGAGCTCAAGGGGCGGGATCCAGCCTGAAAAAAAAAAAAAAAAAAAAACTTAGGATTGTCAAAGAATAGATGGAATTCCCATCCATAAGACTGGATGACTATGAATGATTATGGCTAAGAAGCCATCGTTCATGGAGAATAGACAGGGAAACAGTGAGAGCAGAACTATTGGATTCAATTTTCCATGAGGGATATAATAGGACCTGGTGATTTACAATATGAACTCTGTGGTCAGAATGTCCGAGTTCAAACTCCGGTTTCAGAAAGGATTTATCTGACCTCAGAGCATAGATAAAAATGGAAGTTTCATAGTTTCACGTAGAATTATTGTAAAGATTAAAAGAGAACCTGCTCACAAAGTACTTGGCATATAAGTACTCAGTACATATTAGTCACCGTTATCAGTATCATCACTTTCATCATTAATGAGTGACAATTTCTAAAGAAAGATGGTCATACTCATACTAATGATCTTCAGAGCTGATGAAAGAAAGTGTTAGACAGTAGTTCAAGTTTTTATACCCATCACCACAGTAGCAGGTTTCCTTCTGTCTCTTACTGTTTTCTTTTATATAGACCTCAGTTACTCACAAATACCAGCCACATGGTTTGCATTTCTCCCTATGTTAAATTCTTGACGTCTCTTTTACTTTAAAGTTGCTGTGTTTAATGTAATATCATAAAAAGATCTAGGATTTTAAGCAGTTTGTGCTATATGTATAGTTCCAAAGTCACACATATGCCCTAGCCACTCAATAATAAAGGACCTGTGAACTAATTAAAAGAAGTAAATCATGAGAATGTATCTTTAGATTAAGCTGAATAAGATACCAGGGAGCCAAAGGTGTGCATTCAAGTGAATGAGAAACCAGAATGACATGGAGAAAACAGAAGAGCTCAGGTGGATTCCTTCCTAGACAGGGGGGCTGAAAGGAGCCAGAGGGTAAGTGAAGATGACGAGCAAGAAGACAGTACTGATGATGTTGAAGTCCTACCCAGGAAGAGCTGTTTGTTTCTAGAATAGGAATAAGTAAAGTAGTTACATCAATTTGGGAGGTCAACAAAGGAAACAATGGCATTATGATTAAAAACCAGTTATTTTCCTGTATGCTGGATTCATTGAAATTCAATATTGTTAATTATCATACATTCAAAGTCTTAGTAAAATCAGGCAATAAGCCTAGAAGAATTCAATGCCCTGTGTTTCTATTTTGGTAAAATTGCCTTAATAGCAAACAGAAATAAAGTTTTAAAGATTAGAAAAATAGTCAAAAGAATCTATTTTTCTTTTTCTCCATTTAAATTTTGTAGAATTTTGTGTCTAGGAACATATATATATATATACATTCACATATATATGAATATATACATGAATATATTAATATATATGGATATACACACATATGTTTATATATGTGTGTTTAAAACTGCAGGCCAATTTGAAAAGAATGAGTGCAATTTCATCATTTTCAGTTAATCATCAACAATTTATTTAAATCTTATAAAATAAGTTCTGATCTAGTAACAAATCATAATTCTAGATTGTTTCTACACAGATACCCATGCACTGGAACTGTTTAAGGCAAGTATGTTAACCTGGAGACTATGGAATCATAAAGGATCCATAGATGAGCTTCCCTAGGCTTACAGCCTCCCTGAAATTACATGAATATTTGTATATTCGTGTCCTTGTAAGTTTCTAGCATCTAGAGACACTGAAAGATTCTTAACTGATTCCTAATCTCCCAAAAGTTTTAGCCTGATTTTTTCTTTTTATTATACTTTAAGTTCTAGGGTACATGTGTACAATGTGCAGGTTTATTACATAGGTATACATGTGCCATGTTGGTGTGCTGCACCCATTAACTCGTCATTTACATTAGGTATTTCTCCTAATGCTATCCTTCCCAAAACAATGTATCAACTATTTAAAATAAAAATAACATAAAATAAAAATAAATAAAACTATTTAAAACAAAATCCACCAGAACATTGATGGATTATAAATGGGAAGATTTGAAAATCTATCAGCAAGATACTACTTCTGTCCAGACGTCTCTGATCCTCTGTAATTATTTTTCTCAAAAATTATTTATGCTAGATAGTCCTCGGATTTATTTAACTTCTATAATCAGATAATAAGATGGGGTGTTTTCTAACAACTTACTTCCTCTGTGAAAGAACTCTAGTCTGGGTTCTGACATACCCCTGGGCTCACAGCAACATTTCTGTTTTTTTTTTCTATTCTCATCCCAAGGGTTTTGGCTGATCAGGCTGGAGGGTGGAACAGAGAGGATTTTGGAGCTCATCTTTATTTGTAAGGAAAATCTGCTTTGCTTGATTTTTGTGGATTTGGAAGAATGTTATCGGGAACAAAAGGAGAAGGTAGTTGAGGGATGGAGAGAAAGAGGATAAAGTGGGACGACTCAAAAGAAACTTTGCCATATAGAAACACATTTGTTTATTAAATAGGGAATCCTTTCCCCATTTCTTGTTTCTCTCAGGTTTGTCAAAGATCAGATGGCTGTAGATGTGTGGTATTATTTCTGAGGACTCTGCTGTTCATGGTTCCATTGGTCTATATTGCTCGTGTGTGTTGGGTACCAGTACATGTGTTTTGTTTACTGTAGCCTTGTAGTATAGTTTGGAAGTCACGGTAGTCTTGATGCCTCCGAGCTTTGTTCTTTTGACCTTAGGATTGTCTTGGCAGATGTGGGTTTTTTGGTGTCCATGTATGGAACTGTAAGACAGTGTTGAGATTGAAAAGAAAGTGGAGTGGAGCGTTGAGTGATGCATGGAAGTCTATAAATGACCTTGGGCAGTATAACATTTTCACGATATTGATTCTTTCCGTATCCATGAGCGGAGGCTTCCATTTGTTTGGTGGTCCTTTTTATTTCACTGAGAGTGGTTTGTAGTTCCTCCTTGAAGAGGCCTTTACATCCCTTGTAAGTTGGATTCCCTAGGTATGTTGCATTCTCTTTGAAGCAATTTTGTGAATGGAGTTCTTCCTGATTTGGCTCTCTGTTGTGTGCCTGTAACTGGTGTATAAGAATGCTTGTGGGCCGGGCGCGAGTGGGCTCAAGCCTGTAATCCAGCACTTTGGGGGGGCCGAGGCGGGTGGGACTCACGAGGGTCAGGGAGATCGAGACCGATCCTGGGCGTAACATTGGTGAAACCCCGTGTCTCTACTAAAAATACAAAAAATAGGCGGCGAGTGTGGCGGTCGCCTGTAATGCCCCACTACTACTGAGCAGAGAATGGCGATGGAAACGCGGAGGCGGAGCTGTGCAGTTGAGCCAGCATCGCGCCCACCGCACGCCACCGCGGACAGGGCGCAAGCTCCGTCTCAAAAAAGAAAAAAAAAGAAAGAAAAAAAAAAAAAAAAAAGAAAAAAAAAAGACGACATGCTATGTGAGTGTGGGCACAGGTAATTGGCCGGGAGGGCTTTGCTGAGAGAGTTGGGCTTATCAGGGCTTAAGGAGATGTGTTGTTGGGGGCTGAGACAATGGGGTTTTCTAATATACACATGTCATCTTGGCAGACAGACGGCCGCGAGTGGTGTGTGTTGTGTTGTCTGTGTGGCCTATGGAGGATCCCTTGATTTTCTTTCTCGCCTGAGAGGTGTTAGCCAGAAACTTCAGACATGAAAGTGTGAGAGGGAGTGGTGAACATCCCGGTCTGGCGATGTTCAAGGGAATGTGTGCTGTGGTGGCCGAGGGTGCCAGTAGAGTGAGTAGGTTGGGCTGTGGATTTGTCATAAATAGCTCTTATTATTTTGATGTACGTTCCACGATAACCGAATTATAATTGAGCGTTTTTAGCGATGAAGGGGCTGATTGAATTTTGTTCAAAAGCCTTTCTGCATCTGATTGAGA